TAAGAGCTTGTTAATTTATATAAATTAAATTTTTATTGAAATTATTTAATAATTATCTATATTAATTAAATGATTAAGTTCTTGATCTAATATCAAGACTATTTCTAGAGAAATTATTGAATTATTCTAATAATAATAATTATTAAAGAAGTTATTGATAATTATATTTATACAGAATGATAGAAAATATTAATATGTAATATAAACTTATTAATTCTTATAAAGATTATTATAATTATTATTTAAAATACTCTTAAAATATTAAATAACTATATATATTCTTTTAATATATTATCAGAAGTTAATTATATAAATACTAATTCAAAGTTTAAGGATTAATTTTATTAACTTTATATATAATAATATAAATAATAATAATAAACAAAAATTCTATTTTTTCTCTTTTAATAATACATGAAAAAGAATTGACAAGCAAATAAAGAAAATAAATAATTGATACTTATCTTGCTGGCATTAAAGATCAAAATATCATACTTAAATTTAATATTTCTCAAATAATAATATATAATATTATTAAATAATTTAAAGAAATCAATTCTTCATATTCTAAAAAAGATTCTGATTAATTAAAAACTCTAAGTAATCATGATAAATAAACATTATAATGAGTTATTCTAAAAAACTAGTTTTCTTTACTTGGTAAAATTACAAATTAACTAAATAACAGATAAATACTACTTATCATTCTAATATCATCTGCAAATACTTAGATAAAATAGGATTTGGAAGCTATACTCCAAGAAAAATAATACCAAATCAAGAACTTCATCAATTAAATTGGTGCTGGGAGAAATGCCACTAGAAAGAACAATAGAAAAATATAATCTGATCTGATAAGTTCAGATTTGCACTTTTTGAATCAGATGGCCAGGTAAGAGTATCAAGAGATTCAGATGTCTATGTCAATGTTCTTGCAAAATATTTTGTACTCTGGGCTTATCAATATTCAAATATTATATTCCAACAAGATGGCGTACCATGTCATACTTTGATATATACAACATGCTAGATGTTAACTCATGATATTAAAGTTTTAGATTGGATTGGTCAAAGTCCAGACCTCAACCCAATTGAGCATCTGTGGGATATTTTGGACCGTCAGATTCAATTACCTACATCAAAGCAAGAATTAATTAGTATGTTATACGAGAAATGGGTGGGTATCGATTTGGATACCTTACGTGATTTAATTTTAAGTCTACCTAGACGTGTAGACAAAGTAATTAAAGCTAAAGGAAAAAGCACATCATATTTAAATTTAGGTTTGAACCAAAATAAATGTATATTCGAAACTTACCTTTTATTTTTAATTTCGTGCTTGTTTTAATGTGTACGTTAATTTATTTTCGATAATTAAAATGTTTGATTTGCTGCATAATCGACATAAATTTCTATATTGTGGAGGTATGTCTGTTAGCGTTAGTAGAAACCGTGTTCATTATTGATACTACACGTTGAATTGTTACAGAAACCGTAATACATGTACATGGATATGTTGAATATTTACTTATAAGTTTATCATATTCTATGTACATGTTCAGTACATGTATTTGATTCATAAATACTTTATAGCTTTTAATAACGAAAAAATCTAATACGTTATATTAGTATATCAAAGAAAAATTCTTTATATATATTCATAAATAACTACAATAACAACATTAGCAAAAGAATTCTGGTATATCTGATAAAAAAACTGATAAATGAAAATTTAGGACTGTCATTATCGCAACAACATTCGTTCGTCATTCTTGTAATAAAATTTATCATTCCTTTGCTTTTTTACGTATGGGTATCTACTCAACATGTCTCGAGTTTCTAAATAGAGTAGCTGAGTTAATACCTTTTAAGCAAAAACAAAAATTGATAAATTTAGATTATTCTTTGCTTCGCTGTACCAATACTTAAGATACTTTAAATCGCGGTCTATCGTGCTTCATAAATACTTCCCGGCTGACGTACAGATATATGAAATGGTGCAAGTTTACATGTATTTATAGCAATGAATTACTAGTGTTATGCCTTACTTTAAAATGGTGTAACTACTATTAGGAGTATTGGAATGAATAATTTACTATTAAAGGAGTTATTTAATGTTCTATAGATTTTCTGTGACGATTTGTATGCAAATCGACCTTTAACAATGAAAACGATAATGTTAAAAAAGCTCCCATGAGGGTTCTGATGACCAATAACAAAAGACAAACATGACAGGACTTATTGACACAGCCTGGTAATAGCAATATAATTATGGTTTCAGCTAACTAAAAACTAATGAATTCAAATACAAAAAGGTTGGACTTTAGTTTCTGCCAACAAAACAATATAATTTCGAATTTTTGGATTATTTATAGTGAAGTTCCTCCACTATTTGTACAAACGACAAGCTTTGAAGTTAATTAATAAGTAACAAATAAAGGTAAATATTATTTATTTTATTTGATTAAGCATGTTTTTCGTCGCAAAAGTAACTATATAATAATATCTGAATATAGCGAAGGGTTGGGTTATTAGTAAAAAAATCTTATGGAGGTTTATTTAGTGTTTTGTTATGACTATACTTAATGCTATATTTTACCTAAACAAATGAATTCTAATGGATTCTGTAATATTATATAGTAATAATGGATCCTGTAATATTATATCGTAATAATAGATCCTGTAATAATAATAATAATAATAATAGTAATAATAATAGTAATCTAATGAATTCTGTAATATTATATCGTAATATTATTTCTAGTCAGCCACTAAAAACGCCTGTTTAATCGCTAAAAAAATGAAGGTATCTATCTATTTAGCGTGAGAAGAAAGCGACAAAGCTCTTTGGAGAGAAAACATAATTTAGTTCCAGTTATCACATCTATGCCCGCACGATAGCTTATGCTCCTTCGACAATTAAATTTTACAAGGGAATATTGGTTCTGTTTTTACTCTAGGAATTGCTAAAAATAGTGAAAGAAATACACAGTAGTGCTAAAAAAATTTTCTGTTAAAAGCTCTAAAGCTTGAAATTTAACCACGTTATTATTTAATTGGTGCTCTTAGTTTAGGGCGTGAGAATGGCATGAAATTTTTTCTCAATGGAATGCTTGACAAGATTGCGTGCTAGTGGTGTGATTTTAGGATAAGTTGCATTATTTTCAAGGGAGAGTTAGGGGATTCTTTGCTTATATATAATGGTGCTTTGTTGTTTTAGATTTTCCTCACCAGTCAAGCGGTCAAACAAATAAAGCTTTTCAATAAGCTCTTTAACGAGTGAATTTTAATATATTCTAGTTTAAATAAATTCATTGTTTCTCTCGCTAATATCTTTTTTGCTACCATTAGCTACGCTTTTTACGAATATTTTTTGAAGTGAGTTTTTTTGATTAAGTTGGTTTGCTTTTGCCATTTACTAACAATGATGAAGACGACGAAAGGGATAAAACTGATTATAATTTAAAGAATCTTCTTCATAAATATACTCATGTTAATGTCATCGACACCTCACAAAATAATATTGTTATGCTATGATTGAAAGAGAGATATTAAGACTGAAGGATTTACAAGTAAAGTTGTCTTAAAGAACTCCTGTGACAGTTTATACACAATTAATCTACAATAAAGAGTAAGTGTAACGGTAATAACAAATTTAGCTTCTGCTAACAAACAATCAAAGATTGGTGTCTTATTTATAGTAGAGGTCTTCTTACTAGTTGTACGCAAGCTTTGAAGTTAATCACAAACGGAGAATAATAATTAGTAAGTAAAGTCGAGTTTATCAAAGTTATTTTAATATAAGGTGACTTTGCAGTATTCGTAGTAGAACCAATATGGGTTGCTATTTTTTCATAGCTCCATTGCAGGCCTTGTAAAAGTTAATCAATCTTTCAATCAATCAATCATCTAACTCCTATTTTATATTTTACACCAGTTTATATTTATACGGATTATCAAGGTTAGTATCACTCTTGAATTTTGAAATCCCGAAAATATAATAACCCAAATGCATGGTATACAAAAATGATCATAATTTTTGGCTTTCGTTCATTCGGGATGTCGTTTGTTCGGATGCCGTTCATTCGGGACTTCGCTTGTCAGCCTTAGGGAACTGACAAATATTAGCTAATATTGGGGTGTTCTCGTTTATATGATTGGCTAATTATAATAATAAAAATCATGTGCTTTATCATAGGGTTGTAGTAAAATTATATTACCTAACGTCAGTCTCTTATGAACTGTCAGAACGGTGCAGATACTTATGACCGCTATTGTCTACCCTGAAAGAGGGTACGGTGTATGTACATGACAAAATTATCCTCATGAATTTGCAGCACTAAAACCAATTATGAAGTAATTCTTAATGTTACTAGAATTGATGCTCACATTAAGAAAACAAAGATTTATCGAGGTTTATTGAATGATTTGGGATTTTGGTGAAGTAAAGACAATTCTAATCAGTTTCTTACTCTCTTACAATAAGGACATACCGTGCTGATACTGTATTAGAAAGTTTTGAGTTCAAAAAATAAATTCTTTACTGTGAAAAATCAAAATCATCAATTTTCAGTTTATTGCTAATAAGTGTTCTTAAGACATGTGATTGTGTAATCTAGTGTTACAATAAAATTATCATAGAAATAAACTTTAAAACTGATTGAAGTTAATACAGCACACAAAAGGTTTTGCAACAGACGATCAAATGATATTATGACAAACTTGACCAGATATGATCGATGTTATGACAAACTTGACCAGATATGATCAAGATTACGAAATCTTGACCAGATATAATCACATGTATTATGCTTGGCACAAATTGGGTGCTTACAAAACTTACAACAGAGATTTCAGTATTTCAAATTTGCAAACCCATGACGATAATAAACTGGTTATATATGAAAAGTAATTATTATACGATAAAGCTGATAAATGCGAATGAGTCCCATTATTATTACTTGACTTTGGGAATTGTATTAAAGATTATATCACAAAAGATGTTATTACGAACATTTTTCATGATTGGATACTTTGCATCATGGAGTGCATACCCAGACATGGGATACAGTGTCGACCAGCTTGATCTGACAAAACTCTTGCACGTAATGTATGCATTTGCATTGCCATCAAAAACTGGTGAGATATTTCTTCCGGATCCTGAAATAGATTATGGAGATACGAGTGACAGTATATTAAGGGGTAACTTAGGAAAGTTGTGGAAACTGAAGCATAAGAATTGACAGTTAAAGACCGTGTTATCGATCGGTGGTAAAGATGGTAGCGCAAATTTCTTGAGCATAGTTACTAGTTCATCGAAAAGAGATAAATTTATTTTGACGTCGATAAGTTTGATGAATGACTTAGGAATGGATGGGCTGGATCGTAAGTATTTTTCATTTGTTTATTCGTCTTTCTCGTTATAAAAAAATGGCATTTGACTTCATTCTCGTTATAGTATATTGGAAATTTCCAAAAAATGAAAGAGAAGCTAAAAATTATGTGACTCTGCTGCAAGAGCTAAGAATTGTATTAGACATATACAAAATAATCAAGGATGAAAAAGAAAAATATCTGTTATCAGTTGCAATGCCAGCTGATCCATACTTCTACAAAATCCTTTTATTAAAAGAAAT